CTGATTTTTTGATTTATTGTAGAGATGAGGTCTCACTGCCCAGGCGGGTCTCGAACCCACGGGCTCTTTTCAATAGATCGCAGAGAAACACTCAGCCATATGACAGGCAGGACTTGGGGAGTACCAGAGACAGGGAAGAGTCGAAGACGGTGCCCCAGTTCCTAGCTCAGGCACTGGGCAAATGTCTTGAGGAAGGATGAGACTGCACCAAATGTCACAGGAGAGCTGGGGTCAGAACTCTCAGGAGTCCCCCTGTGAGTACAGGTTTGGCAAATCCAACACAGGTGGCCAAGAGGGAGCAGTCAGTTACAAGATGGGAAACCAGGGAAATGAAGTGTGATTAGAGCAACCCACTTTGAAGGAATTGGGGGAGTATCACAAAATCAGAGGTCAACTGAGAAATGGAAAGACTTCTGCTGGATTTGGCAGTTAGATTTGTTTCAGGGAAATGGTTAGGGCAAAAGCCTCATCATATGGCTCAAAGTGGCACCAAGGTGCATCTTCCTGAGGGAGCCAGAGGAAAGAAAAACAGGAAAGCAGGTAGCTCAAAAGGGTTATAAGGCTGAAGGAGACTGCTTTTGACATATGCTAAAATGAGAACCAGAAAACCCAGCTTCTGGCTCTGGCTCTTGCTACAAAGTTGGGTAATGATTTTCTGGCTTATAAAATAGGGATAGCAGTATCTGCTTACCCTGCGTAATCACGGGGGACCCTAAAACTCAAAACCCTTTGAAAAACTTATAATCACTTGCCTTCTGCTTTCTTTTAAGTACAAAGTCACTTTGAGTCTTACCCCATACAGTTAAAATTAAAGACATTATTTCAAATTTTAAATAGTTGCAGTGGAAATTTTTTAGATGCAAGATGCTTTAAAACTAAGAGTCCTCTTAAAATTAGTCAAAATAAAGCAATTGACAACAGAGAAGCTAATTTGGGGAAAAGTTTTTAATTTTTATCAATCTAACATAACATTAGTTCTTCCACATTCTCTTCAAATACTTCAGAGATCATTTTACCTAAGTCATGTGCACAAATTCAACTTTCAAAAGTTAAATTTATTTGAAAATTAACAGATACTTGAAAATCACTAATACTGATTTAAAAATCGAGGGATTTCGAGGTATCTGTCCTAGAATTATCATTTTAGATGGCAATCGTCTTCGGATCTGTCGTTCTAGGTTTTGGAAAGCACAACAAGATGCTCTGTCTCGCTTGTCTAAACTATGGAAGCTTTTTTAAAGAGTTGGTCATTACAGTTTGGCATTTTTGTTATCTAATTTTCTGGTTTTGATTGAAAGTGAGTCAAGTTTTCTAATAAATGCAAGTGTAACATTCATGCAAGAAAACTATCAAAAACTTAAGTTACCCAAAGAGAACTGGTATTATGGGAAATGTTTGCTGCCTACTGCCTACTCAATACCTTTTCGTAAACAGAGTTTGTGTATGCGAAAAGTGTTTGATGAGTTGATGCCATAAGAAGTTGATCGCCAGCGCAGACACGCACATCTGCGCAGCGAAATGCATCTGAAGGCCCTAATTGTTGGCGCCGATTCTCTCTATCCAGCCATAACGGTGAGCCGGTCATACAGGAGGGAGAAAAATGGAAACTCTCGAGCGACTCTCCGCCGACTCCGCGATCCTGTGGCTTTCTTCCCACGCAGCCTGGAGCATCCCATGCTCACAGACCCCGCCGGCAAGTAGCCGGGCCCGAGGACCACAGGGCCCCGCAGGAAGCTGCGCGACACTCGGGTCGCTGTTGTCGGGGTCCTCGCCTGGCTTCCCTGGATGGATGGCATGCGTCCCCCCCTCCGCCACGCCTGCCCACCGCGACGCCCCGCGCGCGCCACGGCCGGAAGCCGGGACTCGGGCGGTCCAGTCGGGCAGGTCCGCAGCGACCACCGGTAGGCACGGGCGCCTCCGGCAGGTGGCAGCGTCCACCAGGGACCGGCGCGTCTCCTTACCCCGGCGGCCTCCACTCGCCAGGGGGCCCAGCCTTCTTGACACGGTCCCCCGACCTCAGCCGGCCGCCTCCCCTCCCGGCCGCTGCGGACACCCCTCGGGAACCCAGGGCGCCGGCAGGGGCGCGGCGAGAGCCGCTCGGCGCGCTGCTCCCGGCAGGCCCGCCCTCACCCAACCCGCGGCGCCGCGCGCCTCCCTCGCCCCGCCCTCCGACGCCGAGCGGCCAATCAGAGCCCCGCGCACGTGACGAGCACTGCCTGCGATGACCTCATCCCTGGTGTGGGATGACGTCAAATTCAAGATGGATGGAATCACAGCGGCAGCGGCGGCTGCGGCGCGCGCGAGCCGAGTGTGACCGGAAAGGGGCCCGGCGCCTGTCTCGGGGTTGAAGACCGGTGAGTAACTGTCACGCCTCTTGCTCTAGGAGAACTGCGGGGCCCCGTGGGAGGCTACAGCCTCCCCGCAAAACGCGGCCTTTCCTGACGTAACTCTGAGGTGATTTCTCTCCTCTTTTTTCTCTCCATCAGCCAGTTGCGGGTTCCGAGCGCTTCTGCGCGTGCGCCGGGCCTTGGCTCTCACCGAGCATGCCCCGGGCTCCCACGTAGCCGATTGTGCCTTCACACTGCGCATGCTCCTTGCCCGCAGTTGGCCTCGCCCTTGCTACTGCGCATGCTCCGTTCCCTTACTGGCTTCGTTCCTCGCTTTAGCCGGGCTGCCCCTGGGGTAACGGACGCGCTTGGCCTGGGTGTGCGCCCCTCGCGTGGAGTGGTTGGAACGCCTGGCGGTGAAGGGCGCGCGCTCCGGGTCTGGGCAGGCGTGGGGTGCCGCTAGTGGCCGCCGGCCCGGGCTGCGAGGGGCGCGCGAGCGTGTGCGGAAGCTGGTCGGCGATACCGGAGACCCCGCACCTGCCGCGACCCCGCTGCCCCCTGTGCGACCCTGGCCCCGCCGTCCCTGGGCTCCGCGGCCGAATCAGGACCTCCCGGTGGCCAACTTGACACTTCCGCCCTTTCCCCCGGCCCTGCCGCAGACTTCTGTACCTTGCCGCACGTTCATTTCCCTCCACAGTCCCCTGAAGACCTTGTCCCTTTGACTTCCCACCGCTTACCCAGAGCGCAGCTCCCTCCGCTGGCCAAAAGCTTTTTTGCTCGGTGGTGGACGGCTTCCCCGCTTGAGAAAGCCCCCTCCCCCGGCCGACATCTGCGGCTGGAGGCGTCGGGAAGGGAGTGGGTCCACGCGCAGCCCGCCGCGCCCCTCGCGGTCTTCTCGTGGCTTCCTGGAACATGCTCACTACCCATCCACAAAAGATCATACCTTTTAATCGTAGCGTAGTCCCTCGGGTATAGCTCTTTCACCTCGGTTGTATGCACTTGCAACCATGAGGGCTGTGCGGTTCTGGAGGATGCCACATATGCAGCGCATTTGAGGCAGGTGTTCTAGCAGGATTGCCTGACGGTGGAAAATGAAGAGGGACATTAATCAGACTTTGCACAGCTGGTTTTTTGAGGGTTTTTTTTTTTTGTGTTTGTTTTGAGACAGGGTCTCGTCATGTTGACCAAGCTGGTCTTGAACTCCTGGCTTCAAGTGATCCTCCTACCTCAGCTTCCCAAAGTGCTCGGATTACTCGCACTTGGGCTTGGAAGGTTTTTTTTTGTTTGTTACTGCAAGAGAACAGCTCTCTTCACCTCTAGCATCTGAGGGCATCTGTGTATTGCAGCATAGTCCAGTGATTGTTTATGGTGATGACCCTGAACCATTAACTATGGAGCTTATATTATGTTCTATATCATGTGTTGTTTGAGAAGACAAGAAAGTGGGTTAATCCATTTTAGAAAGATTTCTCATTGAAAATTATTTTTTAAAACTTTCTCGGTGCTTGAAGGAATAAATCTGTCACCCATCTCATAACTAAACAGTAATTAAGTTTAAATTTAAGCATTCCTAATATTGATGTTAGAAAGTCAAAATTTGGGGTATTGGTTTACTTAAAAGTAACTTTTTGTTTTCGTTCTTTATAACTATTTACTGAAAGTATATAGTGTGCTTCATTCTGTAGAAATGCAAGTTGAAGATATAACCCCTGCTGAGGTACTTGCAGTATTATATAGTAAGGAATATTAAATGTATACACTGGCAAGGAAAAATTAAAAATAACAAGAACTGGGCACAGTAGCTCATACCTGTAATCCCAGCTCCTTGAGAGGCAGAGGTGAGAGGATTGCCTGAGCCCAGGGTTCAAGACCAGCCTGGACAACTTGGCAAGACCTCATCTCTACAATAAATTAAAAAATTAGCTGGGTGTGGTGGCACACACCTGTATTTCCAGCTAGTTGGAAAACTGAGGCAGAAGAATCCTCTAAACCCATGGGGGGGGGGGCGAGTGCTGCAGTGTCCATGAGCGTGCCACTGCACTCCAACCTGGGGGACAGTGGAACTCCACGAAATAAAAAATAAAAAAAAAAGAGGGATTAAATTATTAAGAAAGTGTCTGTACAGAAAGGAGAAAATTGAAGGGACAGTTTTAGTTGTCCACAAAGCCAGTGAGGATAAGGAGAACAGATTCTAGTACTATTTAAAAGCTAGATCTGATATGTCACACTGAATGACTATATAGGAAAGAAGAGGTTTATGATTTAGGAGACCTAGTGGCTAGTAGCACACCACACCTAAATAGGGAATATGTGAGAACAAGCAGATGTAGGGGTAAGGATGGTAAAGTGTGGATCTTAAGTGTCAACGCTGGACCTGAAGGATATGCTGTGATGAAACTGTTCTGTAGGCATCCGAGAGACTGGAGTTTTGAGAAGTCTAAGCAAAAATACAGCTTTAGAAGTTATTGTCTGGTAGTGATTAAAGCCAAAGGCTTGCATAGAAAAATGCAAAGAAAACTGCCATATGCGCGACTCTGTAACAGATGCTGCAGGAATAAAGGTGAGACAAGTTCACATCTTGAGCCTCAAGTTCTGTGATTTCTCTCTTTGCCCACTAGCCACGCCTGTCAGGGCTTCTGCTGGGCATTAGGGATACATAGATGAAAAGGGTTCTTTCTTTTTAGGGAGTCTTGGAGAAGTAAAAGCAGATCAGTTGAAATAGTTGTGTTGTTACAGAGTTGAAATATTGTGTAGTTTGGATGACTGAGCTGCTGGCTAGGGCCAAATTACAAAAGCTTTGTAGAGATGGTGACATTTCAACTGGATCTTTCTATAGAAGTTAGCCAAGTAAAGGAGAGGTAAGAAACATATTTTAGGAGGCAGAAACTGGATGTGCAAATTTGTAGGGTAGATGGTTAGGAGAATAAGAGTGGATAAGTGATTTGCAGCTGGAGTGTGAAGAGTCTTGTAGGCCAGTTTACCATTTGGATTTTGCTTAGAAAATAATAGAAAAATGAGTACAGTATTCTAAAGCAGTATACTGATAAGGTCACCTTTAGTTCAGGGAAACAATGAAAGAGATGTAAATTTCACTCCTGCATTTAATTGGCGTGGAGAGTACAGAAAAGTCAACAAATATCTTTTGTTGTGCAGGATGCCATGTTGGACATCATGAAGAGAGCCAGAAGATATTGCATGGATTATCCATCCTTAAATAGTTTACAGTCCTGCCAGGGAGACTCATATGACTCATGATATAAGGCGATGGTTAAACACGATATACATGGCACTGGCTCTACATAATGCAGGGGTTAAAAGGAGGCTTTTGCTTGTTGTAAGCTAAAGTAATGGAGAAAGGTATATTAGTTTACTTGGACTGCTGTAACAAAGGATGAAACATTGGGTGGCTTAAATAACAGGAATTTCTTTTCTCACAGTTCTAGAAGTCCAAGATCAAGGTGTCAGCAGAATTGGTTTCTTCTGAGGCCTCTTCCTGGCATGCAGATGGCATCTTATCCTCTTGTAGTCCTTTTCCTGTGCATGTCTTTGTCCTAATCTTCCTTTCCTTATAAGTACGCCAATTATATTGGATTAAAGCTCACCCTAAAGACCTCATTTTAAGTTAATTACCTCTTTAGAGACCTTATCTCCGAATATGATTACATTATGAGGTACTGAGGGTTAGGACTTCACCATATAAATTTGGGAGGAGAGAGAGAGGGGATACATTTCGGCCCATAACAGAAATTAAAACTTGAGCTGGCACCCAGCAGGTTGATGCTAGAGTAGCTGTGAGTGTGCCACTGCACTCCAGCCTGGGTGACAGAGTGAGACTCCAACTCAAAAAAAAAAAAAAAGAAAAGAAAACTTGAGCTGAGCTTTGAAAGGTGATTAATGTTCATATGAATGGTATACTGGGGAGGGGGCTGGGTAAGTTCTATGGATGTTCCAGATGGGGTAATGGAAGAAGAAAGATGTGCAGGTTGTGCCTCAGATATAATGTATCTTAAGGGAATAACTAGGGAAACACATTTTAATAGTTGTTTGAAATCAGATTTTATAGCGCCTTGGAGTCTGTGTTGTAAATTTTGCATTTTATTTTATTTTATTTTTTTGAGTTGGAGTCTCACTCTGTCACCCAGACTGGAGTGCAGTGGCCTCTCCTGGCCACCGCAGCCTCGACCTGCTGGGCTCCGGCGATCCTTCTGCCTCAGCCTTCTGAGTAGTCGGAATTACAGGCGCGTGCCACCACGCCTGGCTAATTTTTTTATTTTTTATTTTTTACTGTAGAGATGAGGTTTCACCTGCCCAGGCGGGTCTTGAACCCGCAGGCTCAGGCAATCCACTCACCTAAATTTTGCATTTTAGCCTAATAGGGGGCCGTTGCTTTTATTATTTTGTTTTTAAACAAAGTCAAGGCTGACTTTTTTCATTCAGGACTAAGGTCGCAACTATAATGTTGCATCAAGGAGTTTCTTGACCGTTGTCTCTAGGTACTGTCCCCTGCCATAGCACTCTGTTTGTTTCCATTTCCTTCATTGCACTTAGCAAAATCTGAAGTTATCTTTTATGTCTGTTTCCTTGTTTATCATCTGATTTACCTTACTAGAAAGTGTGGACTTGTCTGTTTGGAGCACCTCTATATTTTAGATAAATCTAACCATGCCTTGTATGTAATAGGACGAAGTAGATAGGTTGAATTAATAATAGGAATGTGTAGTGTGTATGTTGGATGAATGATCAAAGCTTTGTTCTAGGAAGCTCAGTCTAGCAGCAGTATTACACAGGATGGATTTGGAAGGCATGACAGGAAGGGTGAATATCACGTGGAAATACATGAGAGTTCTTTAATAACAAGAGCAGAAACTGTCTGACTTGAATAGTAAAAGGAATTTATTGTAAAGACACAGAGTTGCTCTTGGACTTTAAGGAAAAGTGGAAAAACTGGGCCAGGAAAGACAAAAACCAAACTCTTTACAGCAGGCGCTAGCGGGTTGCATTTTCAGGCCTCTACTGAGATAAATCAGCTCCATTGATAGATTGCCTTTGTCATTCTTCTCAGGACCCGTATTCCAGGGCTTGGTTATGTGCCCTACCCAGAGCAAGGGGAGGGCAGCACATCACATCCGACCATACTCGGAAAAGAGTGATTCTTCCACAGCAGAATCATGGACTGTTACCCAGAGGAGGCATGGCTGCAGGGTGGCCAGAACAAAACAGCAGAAGCTGTGGCCAAAGGCTGCTCCGCTAAACTAAGGTGCAAACTGAGAGGCTGAGCTAAGTTAGAGTAAAACCATTTGGCTGGGTGTGGCAGAGAACAAGTTACACCAAAGGCCAGCCCTCTCGAGAGACTGACTGATGATGTGGTGAGATGGAATAGGAGGAGGCAACACAACTCCTTGAAGCATCTGATAAGCTAGTCTAGCTTTGAAATCTGAGGAGGTTTAGATAATTTTGGGATATCTGCACTGTCATGAAGCGAGTGGTGATAAGACTGAAACTCAGAGCCGACTTCCTATCACCATCTAGCAGTTACATCAAATGAAGAGTGCTGGGGCTGAGTCCAGAGATGAGGGCTTGGGGATGAGCAGTGTGTGTTTATATTCCAAAGTCAAATATAGAAGCTTTGGGTTTCTAACTAGGTGTTTGCCTTGTGGTATGTGCATTTCTTCTTTTTTTCCAGTGCCTTGGTTAGGACTATATAAGCAGTCTCCAATGTTCTAAAGGACCAGTGTCACCAGAGTTTGCTTTTAGGCTATTTTAGATGTAAAGAGACATTGTGCTATCAAACTGGTAGTAACAGTTTAGTGGAACTAACTTATAATTTATAATGTTCCTTAGCTATGACAGCAGCCTGAGTTTTAGTCTCTAAAACTCGAAAGTAAGCAAGATTGGCCAGGTACAGTGACTCAGCCTCTAATCCCAGCACTTTGGGAGGCTGAAGCAAGAGGATTGCCTGAGCCTGGGGGTTCGCGACCAGCCTGGGCAACTTGATGAGACCTCATCTCTACAATAAATCACAAAAACAGCTAGGTGTGGTGGCGTGCATCTGAGTTCCACACTGAGCTTTGCTTGCTTCTGTGTTGCCAGAATGCTCTGTATTCTACCTTCCCTCTATCTCTCAAAAATCCTAATTTCCTGCAACTGATCTAACATTGGTATAAAGAGGAAGATATTTGCATTGAATTAATTTATGCTAAGCTGTGAGTCCTCCCCATCCCATTTATTACTTGAGGAATTTGAGGTGATGGTTTGAAACAATTCTCTGGAATCCAGTTGTGAAGGACTTTGTAGCCATTCCAGGGAATTGGAACTTGAGGCCAGGGCAAGCCTTTGAGAGTCTTTAAGCCCTTTCGAGCTCAGCTGAGCATTTCGGAAAAATGTCTGCAGTGGAAATGTGAAGAATGGGACCTTTAGCATTACAGGCAGAATATTCCTTCTCTGAGATGCTTGTAAATGGAAGGAAGTGTTTCAGATTTCAGATTTTTTAGATTTTGGAGTATTTGCATTAGACTGACTGTTTCAGTATTTCTCATCCAAAAATCCAAAATGCTCCAATGAGCGTTTCCTTTGAGTATATGTTAATACTCAAAAAATTTCAGATTTTGAGCCAGTCACGGTGGCTCACACCTGTAATTCCAGCACTTTGGGAGGTGGAGGTGAGATGATTGCCGAGCTTAGGGGTTCAAGACCAGCCTGAGCAACATGACAAGACCTCATCTGTACAGTAAGTCAAAAAATCAACCAGATGTGGTGGTGCATGCCTTTAATTCCAGCTACTTGGGAGGCTGAGGCGGAAGGATCACCTGGGCCCAGCAGGTTGAGGTTGTGGTGGCCATAAGGGTGTCCCTGCACTGCATCCTGGGCAACAGAGTGAAACTCTGACTAAAAAAAAAAAAAATTCAGATTTTGGAATATTTTGGATTTCAGATGCTTGGATTAGGAATTATAATTGTATAATTATAATACATTGTATAATTATACCTATATTATAATTGTCAAGTGATTGAAGAGTCCCAGGACTTCCCTGCTGTCCCCACTGTTCACTCATCCACTCTCCTACCCCCTGGTCAAGATACTTGCTTCCTGAAATCGGTATTCTCAGCACTCTTGACATCCTTCATGAAACCTGTCCTACCATGGGATTGTGCACTGCTGGAAAACAAGGAGCCAGCCAGCTTGCTCATCCCCTACCCTCAGTGCCTCTTGTGACGTGTGGTGTGTAGCAGACCCACAGAAGCACTCCAGAGAGGAAGGAAGTGAGGTTTGCGCTTACCATGTGGGAAGGGCTGTACAGACTGGAACTTTCAGACATGTTGCGTCTTTTGTCCCTCATAAAATCCAATGCAGTGGGTAGCATTAGCCCATTTAACACGTGAAAAAAGTCATACTCAGAAAGGTCAAGTGACCTTGACAAGGTTATATGACTAGTAGGTGGCAGAGCCAGAATTTGAGACAAAGCAGACTGACCGGAAAGAGTTTTTCATGAAACTGTAATGTCTTGAATGAATTAACCCCTAAAGATGCTCTCATTTTGAAACTTCAGAAAACAACATGCAA